GAGGGGCAAGGATGGAAGCTTGCGTGACAGTACCAGACAGAACAGAACAGCCACTGTGTTCAATACTTAAGTCTTAGCAACAGCTGACTACTAAGTAATGAGTAAAAGATTGCCACAGCTTCCTTACCCAGTCACGCTTTACCAAACCCAAGGAAGCATCAGTAAGTAAACCTCTCGCTGTCCCAGCTGCAAGTTTCCAGACAAAAAATCTGAGCTAAGCAGTTCTATCCTTTTAAAGGTCAGGCACTTCACACTCAATCATTTTGAGGGAAGAAATCTCTGATTTAAACTACATGAAATCATACAAAGAAACCTGAATGTGTTTTTATTACAACATGGTCTCTCTCCCATGCCTCTTGTCTTGAGCAGGATCTCTTCATATAAACAAAAAGATTTAATGTTCCTTTAAAACAGACCATGTCTTACTCAATTCGTATCATTTTGCACAGCCCTCCAAAATACCCTGCACAAAGGAGGCATCTGAATTGCTTTAAAATTGAATTAAATAAGAGGTGTTTAAGTCTCTTAGTAATTACCACACATTTGAGGAGGGAATTTTACAAATCTTTTTGAAATAACATAAACATGTCTCTCCCTGTGGAAGAGGAATGGGCAAAAGAGAAAAAAATGGGCAGGAAGAGAGATGGGAATTATTCAAAAATCTTCTTGGTTGATCACACTAGTGGATTCGGTGGATACTTCATAAGATCTTTCAATTTACAAAGCCTTGACAATAGTAAGTGTGCACAATTTCTAAGGGCTGGATCTTTGGGAAAATAATGAGTGTATTCACCTTTGGAGCACTCACCATTCCATTAATGTGGGTACCAATCGTGTCTGAACTCTGTCTTCAAAAGCCACCTAGCTTCTATAGCTCTTATTTTCTTCCAATCTCAAAAACATATTATTCTTTACACTTGAAGGCCTTCTATAGAACCAAGAGTCTAACTATTAAAGCAAAACGTAAAGATACCCAATGGAAAAACTCAAAGTAATGATTTTATTATCTCTTCCCGGTAACCTCTCTTTTTCCCTCTGGGGGCCACCAAGAATAGAGTAAATAAAAAACTGTGATGTCTATGACATATGCAGACTTGAAGCCATAGATTAGGAAAAATTCACTACTGTATTGCTGTAATCCCATGTAAATTTTCCATATAGCTTCATGTTAACTGTATGTCTATAAGCTATCAAAGATTTCAGTTTTACAACAGTAAGGTTTAAACCAGTATGAACAAAAATTAAATAAATCCCGTAACAGATACTAAGAAAGCAAATTAACAGAGGTCAGGCTATTTGGCTATGATGCCCTATAAAACTATAAGGTTAATCAAGGAAATAAAAAATGTAATACATTTTAGAAGTGAGTCAGTCCAAAAGAATTGAAGACAGCTCCATTTACAATAGCCAAAAGGTGGAAACAACCCAAATGTCCATTAACTGATGAATGGATCAACTTGAAATGTGGTATCTCCATACAATGGAATGTTATTCAGCCATAAAAGGGAGTGAAGTACTGACATTGTTACCAACAGGGATGAGCCTTGGAAAGCATTATGCTGAGTGAAAGAAGTCGGGCACAAAAGGCCACATATCGTGTGGTTCCACTTATAGGAAATACCCAGAATAGGCAAATCCATAGTGACAGTAGATCACTGGTTGCCAGGAGCTGGGGAGAGAACAGGGGGTATGGAAGAGTGACTGCTTAATGGGTACAGGACTTCCTTTTGGGGTGATAAAGATGTTCTGCAACATTGGTGGTGGTGGTTGCACAATGTTGTTAATGTCCTCAACGCTAATGAATTATACACTTTAAAATGGTTAAAACGGTAATTTTTATGTTATGTGAATTTTACCACTTTCAAAAAAAAAGTGGAAATAAGAATTGGAACATAGTCTATTATACTCAACCTAGCATACACACACTGAAAACCTTCTTTATTCTGGCACAGGGATTCAGAGCATGGTTTTGCAGACTATATGTTCCTTAGCCAAACTACTTAAACTCTCTGAACCTCCCTATCTATAAAACGGGCATACGAATACTATCCATCTTATACAGATGCTGCGAAGATAAAATGAAGATAATACGATGTAAGCACAGTGCCAAGTAAGAGTAATTGCTAAAAAAAAAAAAAAAAGTTATAATTTCCCCGGAAACTATGCAATCTTCAATATTGGAATTAAAACCTTACCTAGATCAAAGGTTGTTGCAGTAAGGTCTGTGGACCTTTGGAGATCCCTGAGACTCTTTTAGGGGAGCCCATGAGGTCACAACTATATTTATAGTAACTGTATGACACTGTCCGCCTTTTTCATTGTAATGACATTTGCACAGACGGTGCAAAAGCAATGCTCGGTAAAACTGCTGGCACCTTGGGGCGCCTGGGTGGCTCAGTCAGTTAAGCATCTGACTTTAGCTCAGGTCATGATCTCGCGGTTTGTGAGTTTGAAAACCCGCACTGGGCTCTGTGCTGACAGCTCAGAGCCTGGAGCCTGCTTGGGATTCTGTGTCTCCCTCTCTGCCCTGCCCCACTCGCATTGTCTGTCTGTCTGTCTCTCTCCCTCTCAAAAATAAAAAAAACATTAAAAAAAGTTGTTTTTAAAACAAAACAACAACAGAAAAACTGCTGGCACCTTAGTATAAACTAAGGCGGCGGCAGCAAATTGTATGAGCAGCAGTATATTCTTCACTATATATACATGGTTTTTAAAAAAACTAGTTTCATTTATCCTTGATGAAACTGTAAAAATAATCGATTTTATTAAATCTCAGGCCTTGAGTACATGTCTTTTTAACGTATCTGTGTGATGCAATCAGCAGTATGGATAAAGCAGCTGGGCTGTATGTGGAAGCAGATGGCTGTCTGGAGGAAAAGCACTTGTGAGGTTGTCAGAGCTGGAGCTGAACTTGCCTCTTTGTCCACGAACGCCATTTTTATTTGAAAGAACGACTGACAGACAAATTATGGTTATTCAGACTTGGCTATTTGACAGACATTTTCTCAAAAAAGAACTTCAAGGAAAACAGTATTTTGGGCCAATAATAAAATTTAAGCTTTCAAGTGAAAATAAGAATTTTAGAAAATGTGTCTCTGCTACCATGAGCTTGACAGCAGCTTCTTAATACTTAAAGTCTGTGGTGAAATTAATAGTGCGATCAATACGTTTTTAACATCGCATAATGAAGTATGTCAACATTTGCAAGATGTGCATAACTCAGTGAACCGGTATCTTCTAAATGACCAATACAAAACTGTGCATAGATTAAAGGTCCGGTCAAAATGTAAAAGAGATCAATGGATTTTAGTGCAAGAGTATGAAATGTTCGCTGATAGGATTTCTGACCTTTACCGAACTGTAACTTGTCAAGTTTTAGTGTAGTATCAAATATCCAGAATTAGCTGAAAACACTGAAAGTACTCTTCATTTTTCCAAATACGTTTCTGTGTGATCCAGGTTTTCTTGTATACTTCAATCAAAACAACATATTGCAATAGACTGAACAGAGAAGCAGATAGGAGAACCCAGCTGTCTTCCATTATGGAAATTTACAAAAATGTGAAGCAATGCCTATCTTCTCACTAAATATTTTTGGTTTGGGAAATAGATTTTTCATGAAAAATGCATTATTTATGTAAACAAAAAATATTACTATTTTTAATGAACCATCAAATATTAAATTTCTAATTTTAATTTCTAATAAGGTAAATATTGATAACTATAATCCATATAAAGAAAGCTCTCTTGTGTCCTCAATAATTTTTAAGAAATTAAGTGATTATGAAGACAAAAAGCTTGAGAACTGCTATCTTATCGTTCACTGTTTTTGTTCACAAAACTGAAAAGTAATCTACTCCATACACAGGAGCCCTATAACTGGTGAAGACATCGGACTATTATAACTCACAATGCAAAGGAAATGATCCATACCGGATATCAAATTCCAAGCTCATAAGAAATGTTTTGGGATGTCCTGAAAGAACAATGCGTCCCTACTTTTTAAGACAAGGTTATTAGTATGCTATTTAGGCACATGCCAGGTATCCAAGACAAATCTGGTCCAAAACACACACAACATCTGATTCTATACTGTCTTTTCCTTCCCCCCCCCAACCACCGCCCAGCCCCGCCCCAAATTCACTTCCAATTGAAACGAGCTAGAAGATAACGGAGATTACCAATTTGAATTGAAATATGGGAAATCTTACAAGGGATCCTCTAGAAAAGCAAATCAATTTGGGGGCTTGCCTAAAGACTTTCATTTTCTCTGGAGGGTTTCTGATTCAGGGTGAGCTCTGTTCTATCCCACCTTAATAAAAAGACCACAAAAACAAACTTCCAATTCAAGTTTAGCTCCTCTGCTCACAGAAGACCTTGAATAGACTAATAAACAGCATTAACATTAGAAATGGCTCTGGATGCCTAAACTAGCCTCAGAAATAGCCTGGGTCACAGACTGAGAATCCCTAGAAGCGATCTGTGTAGTAACAACAAAAATAAAAAAAACAGTAAACATCTGTTGGTATGTGTTTTGAGGATGTTTGTATGTGCTAAGCACTGTTCTAAGCATTTCATGTAGATTAGCTTAATCCTAATAATCTTATAGAGTTTGTATAGTTATCATCCCATTTTGTCATGGTATTCACTAGATCTGTTGTTATGTCACTTTTGCAACTAACTACCATCCTAAAATGCCATCCTTTCTGCCTCCTATAGACTGAAAAACATGAAGAAAGCATACATCATAAAAACTAGATTGCTACAATCAATATCCACCATCCAAGTAACTCAATAATTATCAGACTAAAATCTGATACTTTTCCTACAACAAATTCCTCTTTTAAGATAATTGCTTACTATTTAAAAAAAAAAAAAAAGAACTGACACACTCTTTATGATAGTAAGATCTCAAAGAAAAGGAATCAAAACTTGTTGAACTTCTAGCAGTGCTTTTAGGCACCTCTTGATGGAAACAAAGAAGCATTCCAAAAACATACCTGTTGGAGCCGTCTTTCATATGGACTTTGGCATAAAGAACATCCACCATGCCGGGATCATCGTTCATGTATTCTATCCCTGCCATCTCTACCTCTAAGGGTTTGCCCCCAGAAATGTCACTGCAAAGGAAACATTTTTACATTTTTACAAATTTTACAAATTTTAAACATTTTTACAAATGTTTAAACTAAGAGGGCCATTATATTTTAAACATAGTTATTATACACAGTCAAATATTACCAAAAATAAAATTGTTGGGAGGTTTTTCTTTTTACTAACAATATTATCTAACCATCCTTCTAATTTCAAAATTGTGTTCTATGCACACCAACTAGAAATACAAGTAGTTCCAAAGTCACACTACAGTTATCCCAATACCAGTTTATTAGTACTCACAAGAAAAAGCCAAGGAATGACAGCTCTGATTGACAAAGACATTTAATGTGTTGCCCATCTCTTGGGTTTTATTTCATTATTTCTATAAGCTGCAAACAGTATTTTACTCACCTAACAATGGTGGAGGCATAAAGTGGTATAACATCCTAACAGCAATATTTATAAAAAGTCTTCAAGAGTAGAAACCCTTTGTCCAAGCAACTCAATTTCTGGGAGCCAAACCTAAGGAAATCATTATGAATTCAGCTACGTATCCAACCATAGCTGACAAAGGGAAGTTCTTTACAGAAGAATTCCAACTAATAAACGCAGAAGTAATGATGAAATCAGGGTATCACCATTTTGCAACCCCTGATGAAATAATGGATGAAGACAATGATTAGCAATGGCTGCTAAAACTTAATGGCAAAAGGCTGAAATATAAAGAAAATATAAAGAGGGGAGCTCTATAATGATGGATCAGGCTAACCACACCTGAACCCACTGATCAAACTTATCACACACACACACACAAAAGAACAACCAGACAATACTATTTCCTAATATGATGTAACAGGTTACACTTATACTCATGAAAAACAATTTGGGCACAGGGTTTTACTGAAGCTTTGTCTGGAACAACCAAAGATTGGCAACAAATTAAATATTCATTAAGGTTTTAAGAAAAGGTGCACAACAATATACATGCTATATATTACTATTTGTGCAAAAGATGGGAGTAAGAAAATTTATATATATATATATATATATATGTGTGTGTGTGTGTATATATATATATATATATATATATATACATATATATATATATATATATCCATTCCCTGTACGTATAAAAAATCTCTGGAAAAATCTGTTGCCTTTAGAGAAGAGAGCAGGGTGCTTGGTGGGAATAGCAGTGGGAAGGAAACCCTTCACTGCATATCCTTTGAATCTTTAAAATCTTGCACCATGTAAATGTATTATCCATTAAAAAGTTAATATAAAAAATATATGCAAAAGAAGCCACACATAAGTTTATAAAATGCCCATATATGCCAAAGAAGCCAAACACAAAAGTGTACAGACTGATTTCTTATTCATATGATATTCAAGAACAAGCTAAATTAATCTATGGAAACAGAAATCAGAACAATAGTTGCTGCTGGGAGAAGTGAATTTACTGGAAAAGGTCATGATGGAACTTCACAGAGCGATGACAATGTACTACATCTTGATTTGGCTGAAGTTACATGAGTGTATACATTTGTTAAAACTCATCAACTACACTTAAGATCTGTGCATTTTACTCTAAGTAAATTACACCTCAAAGAAGAAATACAGACTTGCATATTAAAAAGTCTGAGAGTACATACTCCACAGCATTAATAGTAATTATCTTTAAGCGGTAAGATTAAAAGTGATATTTTTGTTTATCTATAATTTTTGACTTTTCTAAAACTAATTATGTATGACTTTATTTATTTTAATTGAAATATAACTGAGATACAATGTTACATTAGTTTCGTGGGTGCAGGTATTACTTTCATGTTAAGTAAAACTTCACCGTTCTGCTTCCTTCCCAGCTCCTTAAACAGATTTATCCTTCAACCAGAAAAGGCCCTGCAGTGCCAAGGTGAAACCCAGCTAAAAATCAGCTCACCATACACAGTCTTCTGCAAGCCCCATGAGGCTGGACAATCTATCCATTTTGTCCACTCTGATATCCTCAGCCGGGCACAATGCCTTATGTAAAATAGGTAAACTCCATAAATCTCTGGTAAACACTGACTGGATGTTCTACACTAAACAGAGAAGCTTTTCTGGACAATTCTGAGAAGAATGTGGACACGTGCCTACATCGTCATTGAAAAAAAATGTGGTACTAGCTCAAAGACAAAAGGAAGTTAGGATAAACCAAAGGACAATTCCTAAAAAAGCAAAACAAAACAGTTCTCTTGACACTGCACCAATGCCACAGAGAGACCCTTTGTAGTCTAGGAAACTTCACAGTAAATATTCCCTTAAAACTTCAAGACCATATTATTGCACAAGACCAGAATTTTTTTTCAGTAAGAAACTATTTTAGACAGATATTCAATAAAAATTACCGCCTCCATCATAAGTATCCCTGTTACCACCTCTAATAAGTGGGGTGTTCCAAAACACAAGCCACGCTCTGAACTATTACCTGAGGCCTATAGCTTCATCCAACAGCACAGAAGATCTCCGTTCCAAATAAAAGCGAAAACTCAACACAGAAGACTGCCATTCAATCCTATCAAGGTATAGTCAAACTTACATGAAAAAAAGTTTAATACTAACCATACATTCTTCTACGTTTTTCCCCCCAACTCTGACCCCGCATAGATCACCCCAAAGCACCATACCATTGGTTTAGTTTCCCACTAAAATGTTTTTACTGGATTCTGCCTAATGCTCTACCCTCAAATTCTAGGGATCCAGCCAAGAGAGAACCATGTAAACAATATTTTTGTATTCTCTGCAAAAGTCCTGTTGAAGACACTGCTCATCATCATTTTGGGTTAAGATTTACATGACAAATTTTTCTTGGATTGAGAACCAGAAAAGGATTCTCTCCTAAAAAACTGTCATGCTCCTTTTTATCAGGTAAGAAGTGTAATAATGGATGTGTTTCTTTTTGGAATTTAGTTCAAGTATACCAGTGCTTGAAAACTATTAAATTTTAATGCTCAAGTGTAATTATAACCATTCCTTGGTTTTCAGGTAAAACCTTCTCCCATTCCATCTTTATCTCTGAGCTCCCTGACTTTTAACATTTCTCTTGTACGTATATCCTCAATCCAAACCACCTCAAATCTTTGGAATTAGATGGGGTACCAGGAACAACAACAACAAAAAATGCAACAATGAAACAGGATCTAAAGCCTGTCTCAGGAGTAGGAACAGAAACTCTTTCAACCTTCTCTAGGATTTACCAAGAGGGAGAGAAATTCAGTGGTTTACCTGACTCATACTCTTGGTCATGGTGACAAAGAGTCCACCTGGGACACCCATGAGCATACTTTTCAACTGACACTTGAGGCAATAAACAGGAACCAGCATTCATCCATGGGTATTTTTCCTCCTCTTCTCTCCTTATTCTTGTCCCTTTTTAACTTATTTGGTTTTACCTCAGGCCTACTGGGAACACTTAGGTACAAGAAGAGTGATACTGGAACCAAAAAAATACTGCGTATTTGTCAGACTATATACTCAGAGCCACCGCTCTGTTTGTGTTCTCCATCTCACAAGGAAAAGTCACAAGGGATACATTTAAAGCTTCAGTGTTTACTGAACACTGAATAATTCATTCAGAATCTATACAGCTTCATGAGCCCTTAGCTTAAGAATTGAAATCAAAATTCTGTTCCTGGTCAGGTAACATCACTCGAAAAACACCCCCAAATTAAAGACAAATATTCAACTATTTCTTTAAAATATCTATTTAGCACCACAGTTTTAATTAAATCCCAATCCAGCCATGTAGATTTAATCTCTCAATTTTAAAAAGCCATCAAATTAAACCACAGCATGTTATTTATTAGTCTACCAATTTCAAAGTTTTCCCTTCTTATATTTTAATTTCGGATCTTTACATCATAAAAGGCCCAGGTTAGAAATGCCACTATTCTCAGGTCATCAAGTCAGGGTTCAGGAGATCGAACCCCAGGAGATCCAGCCCCCTGTGAGGCTCTGCGCTGACAGCATGGGACCTGATTCGGATTCTCTCTCTCTCCCCCTCTCTCTGCCCCTCCCCGATCTGAAAAGAAATAAATAAACATTTCAAAAAAAAGAAAAGCCACTATTTACTGACAATCTAAGTATATCAAGTACAAAAGCTATGATCAAAGAGTATGAATAAGAAAGTTAAATGAGAATTCTACTCACCAGGGCTGTAAGTGTGTGTGTGGCTATATGTATGTATTTTTAGGAGACATTTTTCCCTTGTTAGGGAAACAAGGCACTTCTAACCAACCTAAACAGCCAATTCTGAGTCTCATTCTCCTCAGAAATAAGTTAATTTTGCACTATGTGCTTTTTAAACAAGTATGTGTGGCAGAGGAGAAAGTGGGAGAAGAGGGCTGGGGGGGGAGGGGTTGCTTCACTAGCTGGTTTCAAATCTTTTCAGCTTTTTGAAAAAAGCCTCTTCAAAAAAATTTTTGCCTGCACTGCAGATTTTTGGCAGTGTAACTCTGTCCTATTTCAAAAGCTTTGCTGAATTTGAAAAACTACAATTACTGTTTTCATCCTGTCATGTCAAAAATTCTTAGGAACTATTAAGGCTGCTCTTCATTTCCTATGCACACCAACCCTGACATGCTTAAAGGGCTCAGATTTGGCATTTAGTCACAAAAGGCACCAGGAGACATAAAAGGGAAGAACTCAGCTAAATCCTCACATAGCTCAGGATAAAGCTTCAGTGATTAAAAACCTGTGGCCTGATTTTCACAGGTAAGAAAACAAACACTTCCCTAAACAAATAATTTATCTACCTTTAAATTTTTCTTAGCAGGATTACCCTCATGGCAGCCAAGAAAGTGCAGCTGCTTTCCGTTTCGTTTGGCAAAACATGATCTGGAAATAAGTTAAGTATCAGGACTGATTCTTAAATCAGATAAAATTGCTCTGCTTTGTAAAGTAAAGCACAAAGTTTTATCGTATACAAGGAAATTGCAAATATCTAATTACAAACAATGATTTTGAATGTTAGGTTAAGATGGAGAGAGAACAGTTAGGTCCATCAGTGAGCAAAGATCAAGGCAAAGAAGTATTCTTTGCAGACTGCAAACCCAGTCAGCTTATGATTTTGCTCAAGAAAAATACCTTGTCTTCAAAACTGTAAAAGAAGAAATGGCCCACAAACAAGTCATCCTATTACATAGTTTTATTTACAGCATATATAAGAAAATGTAACCCTTTTACCTTGCCTTACCCAATGAACTAGGTAACCCACTTCTACAAGGCCATATCAAAATAGCATGGGGGGGGGCGCCTGGGGGGCTCAGTCTGTTGAGCATTCCACTCTTGATCTCGGCTCAGGTCATGATCTCGCGGTTCATGAGTTTAAGCGCCGCATAGAGCTCCACACTAACAGTGCAGAGTCTGCTTAGGATTCTCTCTCTCCCCCTCTCTCTGCTTCTTACTTGCTCTCTCCCTCTCTCTCTATCAATCTCTGTCTCTCAAAAATAAATAAGAAAACATTAAAAAAATAGTATGGGACCTAGGGGCGACTGGGTGGCTCAGTTAGGCGTCTGACTTCGGCTCAGGTCATGATCTCATGGTTCAGGAGTTTGAGCCCCGTGGTCAGGCTCTGTGTTGACAGCATGGAGCCTGGAGCCTGCTTCGGATTCTGTGTCTCCCTCTCTCTCTGCCCCTCACTCGCTTGCACTCTGTGTCTTTCTCTCTCTCTCTCAAAAGTAAATAAAAGTTAAAAAAAATTGGGGTGCCTGGGTGGCTCAGTCGGTTAAGCGTCTGACTTCGGCTCAGGTCACGATCTCGCGGTCCGTGAGTTTGAGCCCCGCGTCGGGCTCTGGGCTGATGGCTCAGAGCCTGGAGCCTGTTTCAGATTCTGTGTCTCCCTCTCTCTCTGACCCTCCCCCGTTTGTGCTCTGTCTCTCTCTGTCTCAAAAATAAATAAACGTTAAAAAAAAATTTTTTTTAATTAAAAAAAAAAATAGTATGGGATCTGAATATTATAAGTGACCAAAAAAGCTCTTCAAGTTATTTAGTTTTCAAATTTCTCTTACTCTTCGTCAGTCTTAAGTAAAAGGAGTAAAGGGTAGGGAAGAGATGATTCTTTAAAATAAAGCTGTTAGGTCAGATGTACATGTAAATTAACATTTTATAGTAAAAAGAACTCTACCCCCAGAAGAGCAATGCTTTCCCCGAGCCAAAACAGACTGCTTGGACAGTTTTTGGTATCCTTACCGACTCAAACAATACTACCTGTATTTAAAAAAGAAAATTAAAGTGCATTTCTGAAATACAATAAACACCTCAGTAGGGAATCATGTTATTTATGTAATGTTTGAGTTACTGTGGTAACAGAATAATGGCCCTCCAGAGATGCTCATGTCTTATTCTCTGGAATTTGTAAATACGCTACCTTACATGGCAGACAGACTTTTGCAGATGCGATCAAGGTTAAGGAGTTTTAGACGGGATGATTATCCTGAATTATCTGGGTGTGCTCAAATTCACGCGTCCTTAAAAGCAGTGAACCTGTCCCTACTACGGCCAGAGATAGAGAAGCAGTAACAGAAGGGTCGGAGAGATGCAGTGCAGCTAGTGATGAAGATGATGAAGATGATGAAGACAGAGGATTTGGTCACTAGCCAAAGGATGGGAGTGACCTCTAGGAGATGGGCGTGAAGCGCAAGCAAATGAACTGCTCCCCTGAGCCCCCAGAAAGGAACACAGCCTCACGGACACTTTGATTTTAACCCAGTGAAAGCCATGTCAGACATCTACCCCAAAAAACTTGAAGATAATAAATTTGCATGGTTCTAAGCACCAAGCTTGTAGTAATGTGTTCCGCAGCACACACAGAAAATGAATACAGTAGTCTATCCTGTTCAACAGATAATGAAGAGAATTTCCTTTTGGAGAAAATAATGGGATGTCCTATTAAGAACAAAATTTGCCTACTGACCAAGTAAAATTTAAGATAGAGTCTTTCCATAAAATTTTGTAAATACATGCTTTAAATCCATTTTAAGCTTTTCAGACAACGTTCCAATGGTAAGTGTTAACAACTGGGTGAGTCGACAAATCTTGCTGCCATGTGACTCAGCTCCCTAGTGCAAAAACAAGTCTGTGACACCAAAAAGAAGCCAGTACGAGGTGACCACCCTTCCCCATTCCTGTAGATTACTCACTCAATGAATTCCTCTTTACACTGCTGTAGCATCTCACACGTCTGCTGGATCTCTTGCTCACTCAAAAGTACCAACATTCCAATAGTTAGGTGAAGCTTTCTGGGATTCTGGAAAATGCTGCTATCAACCCCATGATCCTGTTATCAAAGGGAGAAAAATAAGAAACTCAGCCCACATAAAAGTAAATGGCAGGAGGGGTGCCTGGGCAGCTCAGTAGGTTAAGCGTCCGACTTCGGCTCAGGTCATGATCTTGCAGCTCGTGGGTTCAAGCACCGCATCAGGCTCTGTGCTGACAGCTGGGAGCCTGAAGCCTGCTTTGGATTCTGTGTTGCTGGCTCTCTCTGCCCCTCCCCAGCTTGTGCTCTGTATCTCTCGCTCTCAAAAATAAATAAACATTAAAAAAAAAAAAGTAAATTGCAGGAATACAATTTAGAGTCCAGAGATAAGCCCATGCATCTATGACCAACAGATTTTCAACCAGGTGCCAAGTCAATTTAATGGAGAAAGAAGAGCCTCATCAACAAATGGTGCTGGGACAACTCAATAACCACATGCAAACAAATGAAGTTGGACCCAAACCTCTACCATATACAAAAATTACATCAAAACGGATCAATGATCTAAATATAAAAGCTAAAATTATAAAACCCTTAGAAGAAAGAGTTTTCTTAGGGGAAAATCTTAATGACCTTGGACTTGGCAATGGATTGTTAGATATGACATCAATGGTATGGGCAACAAAAGAAAGAAATAGACAAATGAGACTTCACCTAAATTAAAAACTTTTGTGTATCAAAAGACACTATCAAGGAAGTAAAAAGACAACCTACAGAATGACAGAAATATTTGCAAACCATGTATCTGATGAGGGTGTATATCTATAATATATAAAGAACACAACTAAAAAAAAAACCCAATTTTTAAAATAGAAAATGAACTTAAGTAGTCATTTTTCCAAAGAAGAAATACAAATGGCTAACAAGCACATAAAGATGGTAACTTCATGAGTCATTAGGGGAATGCAAATCAAAACCATAAGATACCATTTCATACCCAGTAGGCTGGCTATAGTCAAAAAAGTAGAAAATAACAAATGCTGGCAAGGATGTATTTAATGGATACAGAATTTCCTCTTGGGGTGATGAAAATGTTTCTGAATAATATGGAGCTGGTAGATGCACAACTCTGTAAACGCACTAAATGCCATTCAATCATTCACTTTAAAATGGCTAATTTTGTGTTATGTGAAATTCCCCTCAAAAAAAATTGCTTTGTAAAAAAGGAACTGACAGCCTGATATAATGGCATGCCCAGGAAAAACAGAATGCCATCTAAACGTAGGCTCTCAGAATATCTTTTGCTCCTTTATCAGCTTTGTTAGGCCCAGAGCAACCAGGCCTTTTATGGGATTCCCCAAAGAACAATATACTCTTTATAAAAAATGTTGCTTCTATCTTAGCAGACACTGTAGTATTTCCAGGTAAAATACTATGTGTTAAGAATAAATTCTCCCAAGCAAAGAGATGAGGGAAAAATGAATCTGGAGAAATATCTAGACACTGGAGTTGCCACATCAAATATAGCTATCCTTTTGTGTCATTCATCATTCTCTGCACTTTAAATAAAACATTTGTCTCTGGGTAGCAAAAATAGTAAATATGCTCCTATACCTTCCTTTAAAAACAAATGACGTGAGGAGCACCTGGGTGGCTCAGTCGGTTCACCGTCCAACTCTTGATTTCAGCTCAGGTCACAATCTCAACAGTTCCTGAGTTTGAGCCCCACATCAGGCTTCAGGCTGACAGCACAGAACCTGCTTGGGATTCTCTCTCTTCCTCTCTGTCTCTGCCCCTCCCCTGCTCATGCTCTCTCTTCCAAAACAAATGAACTTAAAGTGTAAAAGTCAGTGATATTTACTGTATTCACAATGTTATGCAACCATCAGCTCTCTTTACTTTCAAAACTTTTTTCACCCCATACAAACATTCTATAATCATTAAAGAATCACTTCCCGTTCTCCATCATTCATCCCCTGATAACCTCTAATTTGCTTTCTGTCTCTTTTGATTTGCCTGTTCTGGATATAGCATATAAAAGGAATCATATAATATATATGACTTTCATGTCTGGCTTCTTTCACTTAGCAAGTACTCAAAGCTCATCCAAGTTGTACCACGTATTGGTAGTTCATTCCTTTTTATGGCTGAATAATATTCCATTGTATATATAAAATAACTGGTTTATTCATTCATCCCTTGATGGCCGTTTGGGTTGTTTCCATCTTACAGATATTATAAATAATGCTGCTATAACATTCATGTACAAGTTTCTGTGCCACCATGTTTTCAATTCTTTTGGGTACATACCTAAGAGTGGAATTGGTGGGTCATGTGGTAATTCTATGCTTAATTTTTTGAGGAACCACCAAACTGATTTCTACAACAGCTGAGTCATTTTACATTCTTAGCATTACTGTACAACGGTACCTATTTCTCTCCACCTTTGCCAACACTTACTACTTTCCTTTTAGGGGTGCCTGGGGTGGTTCAGTTGGTTAAGCATCTGACTCTTGATTTCCACTCAGGTCATGAGCTCACAATTGTGAGATCAAGCCCCACATTGGGCTCTGTGCTGGGCATGGAGCCTGCTTCAGATTCTCTCTCTCCCTCTGCCCTTCCCATGCTTGTGTGCGCGTGTGCACATGCTCTCTCTCTCTCTCTCAAAAAAAATCTTTATTACAGCCATCCTGGTGGGTATGAGGTGGTATCTCACTGTAATTTTGATTTGCATTTCCTTGTTCACCTATGACGTTGATCGTCTTTTCATATCTTTGTTGGACATCTCTTCTGGAGAAATGTCTATGCAAATTCTTTGCCCATTTTCTGTCTTCTTATTGTTGAGTTATGGAATTCTTTATATATCCTGATACTAGTCCTATACCAGATCATGAATCCCTTTTGAAGGTAAGTAGGTCTCAAGTTTTATTACATTCATTCTGCAAATGAAGACAAGGAAAAGAGTTGAGAATCTTCCCCTCCAACAAGAGCAAAGCTATAATTCTATTTTTGAATTGCAAGTTCTGGGCCCATATTCTAATCCTTGGACAAATAAACCATCCCAAAGGCAGAGAAATGTATTTCTCAAACACAGCTTACATTCTGTTCTTGGTTTGCCAAAGACTGCCTAATTTTTGCCTTGGCAACAGGAGTTAATGGATTATTCATTTTGTAAGTGTTAATGGAGCTTGAGCTATTTTTATATCTGATGAAGAGTTTTGTGATTCTACACATCAACCCAAATTGCCTCATTTAATGAAAGTGATTTTAAGGAACAATCAGCTTTGAATGTGTCAAGGAAGGCAAAATGCAGTATTTATTACCCCAGCTGCTCTAACCTTTGGCAGAACCTGTCATTTTAGAAAGGCATGCGAAGTGTTAAAAAGCCCCTCAAAAGATTCCAATATGCACAACTCCATCCCAAACTACAGTTGAGAATTGCTCCCTTAGCAATAACAGCTAATATTTTTTTAGCCCTTACTCTCTTCCAGGCATTTCCTATGCACTTTACATAGACAAACACCCTATGAGGAAAGATGTATTATCCCCATTTTACAGATGAGGAAACTGAGACAAAGAAATAAAGTCACTTTCCCAAAGCAACACTGCTAGTAAGGGATGAAGCCAAAATTCAAACCCAAGCAGTCAGGCCTGCACTTTTTATGAATATTATATTGCCTCACTAGTAACAGCTACCCAGAAGAGGCTGGGACAATATGATCATCACTCAAAGGCAAATCCTTACACATTTCAACAAAGCTCACACAATAAATGGATCTCATCATTAAACTAATAGTGCAAATCCCATAACTCTCTGAAAATTGATATTAATATTTGCCTTTTCTTGATATGACACCATAAAAGCATGATCTATGAAAGAAAAAAAGGATGACTTGAACTTGATCAGAATCAAAAACTCATACTTCAAAAGACTCCATTAAGAAAATTAAAAGAGGGGAGACTGGCTGGCTCAGTCAGTTGAGCGTCCGAATTTCTGCCTAGGTCATGATCGCTTGTGGGTTCAGAGTCTCACACTGGGCCTGTCACAGCTCAGAGCCTGGACCCTGCTTCAGATTCTGTGTCTCCCTCTCTCTCTGCTCCTCCCCTGCTTGCACTGTCTCTCTCTCTCTTTCTCTCTCTCAAAAAAAAGAATAAACATTATTAAAAAAAAAAAAACTTAAAAAAAAAAGAATATTAAAAAGACAGTAAATTTGGCTCAGTCAATTAAGTGTCTGATTCCTGGTTTTGGCTTAGGTCATGATCTCGCAGTTCATGGGTTCGAGGCCCACATCAGGCTCTGCGCTGACAGTGCAGAGCCCTTTCTCTCTGCCCTTTTCTTCTTGTGTTCTCTCTCAAAATAAATAAAAAATAAGAAAAAAATGAAAAGACAAGAAACAGAAATATCTTTGAGAAAAATATTTACAAGACATATTTGATAAACATAAATATATTAAAAATTTTAAAATTCCAGCAATAAAAAGATAAATAATCCCATCCTTAAAAATGAGCAAAGAGGGGTTTGGTGGCTTAAGTCGGGTTAAGCTGTCTGACCAATAGGTCACCATCTCACGGTCCTGGAGTCGAGCCCCGCTGTCAGGTTTCCGGGGCTGCCGGCTCAGAGCCTGGACCCCGTTTGATTCTGTGTTCCCCCTCTCTGCCCCTCCCCATGTTCATGCTCATTCCTCCTGTCCCAAAAAATGTGGCCAAATGTTGAAAAATAAAAAAAAAACATACAAAAGAATCTGATAGACATTTTGTTCGAAGAAGATATATCAATGACTAAAAACGGTGAAGATGCGGGGAGTTCAGTATCATTAGTCATCATGGAAATGCACATCAAAACCAAAATGAGGGTGCTCCTGGTGTGGCTCAGTCAGTTAAGCATCCAACCTCGGCTCACAGGTCATGATCTCATGGTTCATGAAAGTTCCAGCCCCCATTGATCACGCAGTTGATAACCCAGTGTCTGAGTCTGTTCCCAGGCTCCCTCCTCTCTGCCCTCCCCGTTTCACGCTTCCTGTCTCTCTCTGTGAAATAAATAAACATTAAAAAAAAAAACAGACAATAGCAAGTGTTGGTAA